AATATAAGATTTTAGTTCTGGATTATACCAAAGGTCTAAGAAAATGTGAGACTTACGTTATGTCTCATCTTAGATTTTTCAGTATGCCAAATCCAACCATTGTCACTAATGTGTAAATAGTATAGGACATCTATGTGGATAATACTTATTAAAATAACTTTTAATGTCAAGAAATGTAAGTTCTCCACCTCAGGAAAAGCAACCCCCAACACACCTACAGGCTTGGTGGCACCAAACTGACTAGCATCATGAATGAAAGGGACCTGGGAGTAATAATAGACCACAGTATGAATATGAGCTGACAGTGTGATGCTGTAGCTACTAGGGCAAATAATACTCTGGCATGCATCAATGGAAGCATCTCCAGCAAAGCCAAGGATTCTTCCACTCTACTCAGCACTGGTGTGACCACAGCTGGAGTATTGTGTCCAGTTCTGGGCACCACATTTTAACAAGGATGTGGACAAGCTTGAGAGAGTCCAGAAAAGAGCCACGCATATATGATCAGTCTTAACAAGGAAGCCATACGAGGATAGGCTGAGGGACCTGGGACTCTTCAGCCTGAAAAAAATAAGGCTGAGAGGGGACCTGGTAGCAACTTACAGCTACGCTAGAGGAGTACATCAAGGGGTCGGTGAGCAACTGTTCACCAAGGCACCCAAGTGGAAAACTAGGAGTAATGGCCACAGACTCCTGGAAGATCAATTCAGACTCAACATTGGGAAAAACTTCACAGTCAGGGTGTCCAGACTGAGGAATAAGCTTCCTCCAGAGGTGGTGCAATCACCTACCCTGGGAATCTTCAAGAGGGGACTAGACAGTCACCTTGCTGGGGTCACTTGACCCCCAGTTATATGTCCTGCTTGGTGCAGGGAGCTGAACCCGATGATCTTCTGAGGTCCCTTCCAGCCTTGCAATCTATGAACTTTTAAAATAGCAAGGGTAAAAGCTATAAAGAAATCAACCCTCATGCTTCAGCCCATAAGCCCCTCACTAGCTGCTTGGGGTTAGTCAGAAACTTCTCTCACAAAGCCTAACTGTTGCATGGCTCTCCATTATGCAAGTTTTATACTTTTATCAGGCAGGAATGATGGCTTGAGACAGGTCACTGAACCGGGGAAAGGGAGAGGAATGGGGTGGGAAGACATTGTGCTTTTCCCATGCAGTGATTCCTGTGTCAACAGAAATTAAGTCATTTATTTCCCTGTTAATTTAAAAGACCAGCTAAAATCTTCCTAAGGATGAAAGAGCTATTGATTACATATTTTCCAGGTTGTGGAGGTGTTTTTCAAGCTACCAGTGGTGAAATTCATTCTCCAAACTACCCTAATCCTTATAATGACAACACTGACTGTTCATGGGTTATCCAAGTTGACTATGGCCATCGCGTTCTACTGAACTTCACAGATTTTGACATTGAACCTCACCATGCCTGCAATTATGATAATGTTTCTGTAAGTACCACTGAACTTTTCAGAAGTTTCCTTAACAATCTTGAGAGGAATGCTTTCAAAAGAGGAAATTCAGTATACAGTCTAGACTACAAGTGATGACAGATTATTTATTCATTTACTGGATGAGTTACAAGGTTAAAACCATAGTAAATGTGAAGGATTTGCTTTGTTCATCCCATAATGGCAGTCTGCACAAGTACTTTTATGCATTCCTTAAGGCTGTCAGTGAAACATGGAACTGAGCTTATTTAGAAACCCTGAGCATATGAGGGAGTCATGGAGCAAGCTTCACACTGGTGCTGCATTCTCTCTGTTTCCTTTGGGATTATGTATGCCCCAGGACAGTATATGGGGAGGCATTCCCAGCACTTCTTATGAAAAGATGGGAATATGACTATGATGTACCCTTTTGTGGGGTGAGCTATGGTTTGAGTTATTTACATGTAGGTTCTAGTACATGTTTTGTTATCATGTGATGTTCCTGTCCAGGACCACAAAATTTGTTATAAAGCTGAAAAGGGAGAGTGCCAGGCACAAAAATGTTTCTGACCTTTTTCTTTATGTGCACACTACATTGTGTGATCCTCATCTGGCTTCTGAAGTGCTCTTTTAGAGAATCTGTCCTGTGGAAGATTCATATTGCTCTCAACTGGCGAGCCCTTACTGAACACAGAAATTCAGACTGCAGCTCAATCAGTGTGTGAAAAACAAGACATTGCAAAGCCAAAGTTATAGGCCTCATAAGAATAGAAACCAGGAAACTTGACCTTTACTGTCAAACTCCACTTCACTCAGTACAAAGGAATGTGTGATCTCTGAGAATCCATAACGTATAGATAAAACATGGGGAACCTAAACCAAAATCCAGCCCTCTTTCTCTGATAAACCCTTGTTTACAGTGAATTCAAGCTGGCAGGAACAGGAAGTTTTTTGAAAACAGGTCTATGTTGTTAATAGTGTTAGGGCCTTCTTACACAGTAATTTTGGGCAGGTCCTGGAGCTTTTAACACCTGGATTGTCTACACATTAAGGCTAGGGACCAACATTCAAAAAGCCTGAGCTTGAATTGATTCAATCTTTGCAGGTTAATCTAATCTAGGTAGTCTGAACTGGTTTGAAACTGGACAGACATTCTTTCTGGATTGAGGAAATTCTAGTTGTCAGTCAAACTGAAGTTTTTTTCAGAATAGAAGATGGAGAATGCTATTTTGAACCCTAAAAGATTTTTAAAAATCAGCGTTTCGACTGGCCCAGTAAACCTTCACTTTTCTGAATGCTATCTATTCAAATGCTGGAATTATATGATCTCCCAACTTGGGCCTCAGAAATGGAAAATACCTGTACATATATACAATTATATGAGGGTTTTTTTACTAGGTTTTATAATATTAAAATATTCATCTTTCTTTTTGGTGCCATTTTATAGTATAAATCCATTGCAAATATAAACATTTTGCATATAAGAGGGGATCCCTGTGGGGTTCAGATGTGTGAAGGTCTACTGCATATAAGTTTTATTAAAGTTTTTCAGTGTTAGTTTAATGTGAAAGAAAAGGCAACAATTAAATGGATGAGATTTTTTTTCCTTTTTGTCACACCAATAAACTGGAGTTATTTTCATGAAACACCGGAATAGAATTAGTGTGTGCACATCCTTTTCTGAGGGAGTTATCTGCCTTTCGTGGGAATGTAAGCCAGGAAGAAGGAATGGAAATTTGTAAACTGATATGTTACTGTGAATGTATTTAGTAATAATAATTCAAAGCAACATAGATGGAAAATGTAGACAGTTAAGGAAGTTAGTGGATTTTTTTAAAGTCTTCTACTATAGGAAAAAATGCTGTGTGTGACTTAACACACTAGTTGCACCCTTCCTCCCCATACCCCACCCCTTATCTTTATGGATTTTATGTGTTTTGTGAGTTCCCCCAGGGACACCCCTTTGCCCTTTTGTGCACCATTGCCCATTTCTTTATTCCTGCCTCTCACCACACAATTCAAAATAGTATGTGTTGCGAAATATTCCTTTTTGCAAGCTGTAGGCCAATTTTTTCATAAGATTTTTCCTAATGTTTTTAATTCCTTCTAGAAACATGATTCAGTGGAAAACAAATCAAAGCACATCTTTTCACACATGGTTTTATAAACAAAATAGATGGACAAAGAATGGCCTGTTCAGGTAGCTCAGGATTATACTGAGACTTGGGGCCACTGACAGATATTAAATTAAAGGTGTGATGAGATCAGAGGCATGATCCCAACAATCGTGCCTCCTGCCATGGCATGGCAGGAGATGTGATTGTGGGATCGGAAATCAGATCCCAATCGTGCCATATATGCTGGTGTATGGGGAGCCCAGGATCATGGTCCTGACCTCCTTCTGCACTGGCACGTAGCAACCTTGGCTCTGCTAGGGGCCACAGGTAGGAGCCCCAGTCAGCTGATTACAACTGTCAGCCAGTGGAGCATAGGAGAGTCCTTAGCTCTGATGATCTCTAGTGGCTGGGAGCCCCAATCAGCTGATTGAGGCTCCTCGATGCAGGGAACATACTGGAGTCTTGAAGGGTTCCAATGTGCTTCCAAGGCTAAGAGCACCACTCACAAATTAAATTGAAGGCATAATAGGAATCAGCCATAAAATTGTTACACATATCTTGGGTAATCACCAGGTATCCAGGTTTTCCATTCGCCCTGGAAAAACATAGATACTCTCCTTTTTAAGGAGAAAAATGTGGATTTTCTCCTGTAAAGGAGAAAATCATAGGAAACGGTGGGTTTATATATATAAAATACGAATTGAGGGGGAGGGGTTTAATCAGAGAATTTGCGATTTTTAAACAGAAAACCAGGATCCCTAGGAATCGTTTTGTGGCTTATTTCCTGTTTTATCATGTCATTAGTGGAATAAACATGTGGCTGGGTCCCTACTTAAGACATAATTAACTAGTTAATCACGGCTTAGGTGTAATGTCTGTCAGGGGCTTAGGAGATCTAAATTCTATTCCATGTTTTTTAAAGAGAAATGCTGTAATAGGACAATGAAAAATACCGTATTTTCTTGCATAAAACATGACCCAGAATATAATACAAACTTTGTTTTTGAAAAGCAGGATAAAAAAAAAACAGTCTTTCCTTATAGTGAGTATCTGAGTAGCAACAGCTAGGGATCAGGGTCTGCTTGTTGTTCTGCTCCCTGAGAGTCAAATGCAGATTTTACTTTTGCCCATAACCACATTTTTTGCATATAGAGCACATTGCAATTTCCAAGACCTGGTTTTGTGTGTGTTGTCTGCAAGAAATATATAGTATACCGTTTCCTATATATTTTGACCCTGTATTTGTTAGAAATTATAGCTGAAGTTCCACTATAATCGTAAGTCAACATGAGAGAATACCTGGACAGAATACTAAGGCATAACTCGAAAACTGTGCTTAAAGTGAGACGCAGTTTAAAGGGTGGGGAGATGCAGTTTTTTTTTCTCTGCAGTGGTTTATATTACATAAATTAGTTTTTTATTCTTATTCCAGTGGAACATTTTGTAAGCAGGAATATAGAACTGAATCTTGTAAGGGTTGCCACAGAGGGGAAGCATTTTTAAAGAATCCAAGAAGCTGGAAAGGGGACCTTTAAAGAGAAATTAGCCATGAAGTACAATTTTAAAAACATAGCTAAAAGACTGAAATCTCTCTCTGTATTTTGTCATGTGCTTTTGCAAATGTCATGACTACTCACATTTCAACAAGAAGGCAATGAGTCACTTAGACATGCTTATTACGTGATAGGGGAAATAGCAGCACAGCAATACTATTCACAGTGTGAAAGGCAACATGTATTTTTTTAAAGTCACATGCCTAGATAATTTTCCTCTACTAATGCAGCAAGCGGGATGCCTTGTGGATCTCAATTCATGTTTGCAAGTTCACTTTCAAAAGTTATGTGGAGAGACGTATTACATGGCTTAATACTGTGAGTTATGTTCCATTCTACCCATGGCATTGAAATGATCCTTACAAAGCAACCAAGTAAAGCTAACAAATAACAGACAGGTAACAACATGGCATCAGAAAATACACATTTTCTGCTTCTGCTAGACCTGTAGTTGACATAACTTCATAGAAATATATATCTTAGTATTGCTCCAATCAGGCTTCTAATTAGGTTTGAAAAATGGAATTCATTCCTTGGTTTTTGACGAATGGGACCGTCGCAGGCTGTGGGCTTGCAAAGGCTTATAGCAGGGCAGTGAAACATGATTTTAGGCCTACCCCAGAGATCTTGGCCAGCTGATACGAATAGTTAGCTGTCACAAAGGAAGTAAAAAGACTCCCAGAGAAGAGGGAAGGGAGAAAGACAGAGAAACATACATGTTAGGCTAGTGGCTGCAACACCAAGCCAGGGCAGTTTTTCAGGGTCTAGGACAGGGTGTGCAAAATATGGCCCACAGGCTGGATCCAGCCTGCTAGGGCTTTCTATTTGGTTCATGGGACCCCTACAAATTTAGAAAATTGGTTATTATCTCCCCCTGGCTGCCTGTCAAAGATGACAAGGCACCAGTGGCAACAGGACCAAAGAGAAGCTGGTGGTAGGACCCAGCGGTGGCAGCAGCAAGGCCTGCCCAGCCCCCCC